CTTGTGCTACCGTCCACAGGATGGATATACTCTTGTGCTACCGTCCACAGGATGGATATACTCTTGTGCTACCGTCCACAGGATGGATGTACTCTTGTGCTACCGTCCACATGATGGATGTACTCTTGTGCTACCGTCCACATGATGGATATACTCTTGTGCTACCGTCCACAGGATGGATGTACTCTTGTGCTACCGTCCACAGGATGGATGTACTCTTGTGCTACCGTCCACAGGATGGGTGTACTCTTGTGCTACCGTCCACAGGATGGATATACTCTTGTGCTACCGTCCACAGGATGGATATACTCTTGTGCTACCGTCCACAGGATGGATATACTCTTGTGCTACCGTCCACAGGATGGATATACTCTTGTGCTACCGTCCACAGGATGGATATACTCTTGTGCTACCGTCCACAGGATGGATATACTCTTGTGCTACCGTCCACAGGATAGATATACTCTTGTGCTACCGTCCACAGGATGGATATACTCTTGTGCTACCGTCCACAGGATGGATGTACTCTTGTGCTACCGTCCACATGATGGATGTACTCTTGTGCTACCGTCCACAGGATGGATATACTCTTGTGCTACCGTCCACATGATGGATGTACTCTTGTGCTACCGTCCACAGGATGGATATACTCTTGTGCTACCGTCCACAGGATGGATATACTCTTGTGCTACCGTCCACAGGATGGATATACTCTTGTGCTACCGTCCACAGGGTGGATGTACTCTTGTGCTACCGTCCACAGGATGGATATACTCTTGTGCTACCGTCCACAGGATGGATGTACTCTTGTGCTACCGTCCACATGATGGATGTACTCTTGTGCTACCGTCCACAGGATGGATATACTCTTGTGCTACCGTCCACAGGATGGATGTACTCTTGTGCTACCGTCCACATGATGGATGTACTCTTGTGCTACCGTCCACAGGATGGATATACTCTTGTGCTACCGTCCACATGATGGATGTACTCTTGTGCTACCGTCCACAGGATGGATATACTCTTGTGCTACCGTCCACAGGATGGATATACTCTTGTGCTACCGTCCACAGGATGGATATACTCTTGTGCTACCGTCCACAGGGTGGATGTACTCTTGTGCTACCGTCCACAGGATGGATATACTCTTGTGCTACCGTCCACAGGATGGATGTGAGGTGCACAATAAACTAACCAGTTCGACTGTAAAATCTTAAACAAATCTAAGCGGCTGTTAACTCTATACGCTGCTTCCATATTTGTGTCCCTCGATATTTCAAAACCATTTGTATTTCTGGTTGATGCTGTGAACTGGAAGGGCAGAGTTCAGACATCTGGTGAGGGATGTCCCCCGCTCATGGCATATTATTCGGCCAAATACCAGGCCTATTAGCAGGCCTACTCTACCAGAGAAACGGAAGCCATGGCACTTGCGCTGGAGCATTTCGATGTATTCTTGTGCAGCACATCACGTGTGATTACCGTCTTCAGTGACCACATTCCTCTGACTTACCATACCATGGGTGGGGTTTTGAACCCGCGGTCAGATAGTTATAAAACTCCAGACCGACGCGTTAGCCACTGGACCAGCTGCTACAATAAGATTCACCCAACTAGGTATATTTCTACACCATAGGAAGGTTAGCATAGGCCACCACTGTGACCAAAAATGCAAGTTTTTACAGACGAATCTCCCGCTAGCATGGCCGTGTTTGCACTCGTGTCATTACGATTTCGTAAGTCATGTTGACGACTTTGAGGGGACTTGAGCTAGAGTTCGTCACGGCCACGCTAGCTGGAGATTCGTCTGTATAAACTTGCATTTGTGGTCACAGTGGTGGCCTTTGCTAACCTTCCTATGGTGTAGAAATATACCTAGTTGGATGAATCTTATTGAAGCTAGCTGGCCCAGTGGCTAACGCGACGGTCTGGTGTTTTGAGACTCTGATAGCGGGTTCAAACCCCACCCATGGTATGGTTTAACTTGTATATACATTACATTGCCTGCAAAGACAATGTGCTGGCCAACTCTCTTTCCAGAGTGCAATTTGTAAAATTAGTCAAATTAGAGGGGACACTTGCTCGCGTTCACAAGTGTCTTAACGTACGCTAGCTCTACTGTCTACTGTTTCTTGAACCTACACTAGCCCTACTGTCTACTGTTTCTTGAACCTACACTAGCCCTACTGTCTACTGTTTCTTGAGCCTATGCTAACTCTACTGTCTACTGTTTCTTGAACCTACACTAGCCCTACTGTCTACTGTTTCTTGAACCTACGCTAGCCCTACTGTCTACTGTTTCTTGAACCTACGCTAGCCCTACTGTCTACTGTTTCTTGAACCTACGCTAGCCCTACTGTCTACTGTTTCTTGAACCTACGCTAGCCCTACTGTCTACTGTTTCTTGAACCTACGCTAGCCCTACTGTCTACTGTTTCTTGAACCTACGCTAGCCCTACTGTCTACTGTTTCTTGAACCTACACTAGCCCTACTGTCTACTGTTTCTTGAACCTACGCTAGCCCTACTGTCTACTGTTTCGCTCTGGCTTGACACTCCCTTTGGATTGAACACTACCTAATGAGTTCAATGGTTGAGAGGAACAGCGGTTCCATTAGTAATTCGTGCCATGGTGGCACACTTAGGCCCTAAGGATGCCTAGTCCTGGCTAGAACTCTTTCGGGGTGGGGGTGTGGCATGGTGTATGTTGCATTTTATTTGGCACAGGTCACAGGCCCATGTAAGCATGGCCTCTTGATCAGCGGATCAGGTGCTCAGGGTATAGCAAGTAGGGGTCCCATCGTTACGATAGTACCTTACCTGGAGTTTATCTGGAGAGAGTTCTGGGGGTCAACGCCCCCACGGCCCGGTCTGTGACCAGGCCTCATGGTGGATCAGGACCTGATCAACCAGTCTGTTACCTTGGTGCAACCAGAAAATCACAAGGAAGCAGCTGAAGTTGTGAAACGATGTGGTACACAAGTGAATCATCCCTGGCAGTTGTGATGAATGGTTTGAAAAACCGACAAGTTGAAGATTGAGACACTTATGCAGCATATGGGAATCTTTATTCAGGAAACGTTTCGCCACACAGTGGCTTCATCAGTCCAATACAAAGAGGAAGGCGTAAGGAGAGGACGAGAATGAGGTAATCAGTCCCTCAACCTGGAGTCGATGTGTTCAGTCCATCAATCTACAAGATTGATGGACTGAACACATCGACTCCAGGTTGAGGGACTGATTACTTAACTCCTTCTTTATTTACAGTTTCTGCTTTGTATTGGACTGATGAAGCCACTGTGTGGCGAAACGTTTCCTGAATAAAGATTCCCATATGCTGCATAAGTGTCTCAATCTTCATCCCTGGCAGATTTACCTCCCAGTCTGGTCATAATGGGTCTCACAGTGTCTCTTGCCTGCATTTGCCTTAATATAAATATTCGCTGTATATATTATGCTTACTTGACTACTTTTTGGTAAAGAAAATAGATCTGCACTAAATACCCCTTGATATTCCTCGTGTCTCTCTCTCCCTACTCAAAAAAGGTATGCACATAAAGGGTCCAAAGATCTGGAATTCGTTGATTGAACATACAAAAGGCTCCCTGCTGCCTGCAAATCAATTTAAGGCTCTACTTCGAAATTGCCTCATCACCCAAAAATAATAAAACATTATACATTATCATCTACCAGTAACTCAAAATCCCAAAATTAGGATTACTCAGTTATTTAAGCTTTTCAAGTATAAAGCCCCCGGCATGATAGTGGCTTTCTACTTATCAAAATAGCAATCACACACTGTGAACTTTGCAAAGAAATAATAGCTACAGCCAGGTGTGCAGGCCACCAGACTACACTTGTCTTTGTAATACTAACTTCTCGTTTTCTCTGCATCAGTTTCTCATTTTCTCTGCATCAATTTCCCATTTTTTCTCAATTTCCTGTTTTCTTCTACCCATTTTCTCTACCTCAATTTCCTGTTTTCTTCTCTCTATTTTCCATTTTCTCTCAACTTCCCATTTTCTCTACTTGCCAATTTCCTGCACCTTCCCACTTTCTACAGGTTTCCATTATCTCTCACACCTTCCCGTTTTCTCCCACAACTTCCCATTTTCTCACTAAACTTCCCATTTTCTTCAGCTTTCTATTTTCTCTCTAAATTTCCCGTTTTCTTCAGTTTTCCATTTTCTGTCTAAACTTCCCATTTTTTCAGCTTTCCATTTTTTCTAAATTTCCCATTTTCTTAAGGTTTCCATTTTGTCTCAACTTCCCATTTTCTTCAACTTTCCATTTTCTTCAGCTTTCCACTTTATCAACTTCCCATTTTCTCTCTAAACTTCCCATTCATTTTCTTCAACTTCCCATTTTCTCTAAAGTTCCTGTTTTCTTCAGCTTGGTGGAAATAAATGGTATAAAATACCGACACAATGGCAATATAAACACAAATGCAGTATAATGTGATCCCTTATTGACTACGTTTCGCCCACACAGTGGGCTTTTTCAAGTCACAAACAGAACTACCTGGGGTGGAAGGAACGCGAGTATTTATAGTCCGGCTGAGGTCAGGTGAAGAATGCTGAGGTCAGGTGAAGAATGCTGAGGTCAGGTGAAGAATGCTGAGGTCAGGTGAAGAATGCTGAGGTCAGGTGAAGAATGCTGAGGTCAGGTGAAGAATGCTGAGGTCAGGTGAAGAATGCTGAAGTCAGGTGAAGAATGCTGAGGTCAGGTGAATGCTGCATCTGATGATGTACCCAAGTTTTTAGACTCTATAACCCCATTCGGTATATCATCAGATGCAGCATTCTTCACCTGACCTCAGCATTCTTCACCTGACCTCAGCCGGACTATAAATACTCGCGTTCCTTCCACCCCAGGTAGTTCTGTTTGTGACTTGAAAAAGCCCACTGTGTGGGCGAAACGTAGTCAATAAAGGATCACATTATACTGCATTTGTGTTTATATTTCCACTTTCTTCAGCTGCCCATTTTCTACCATCAACAGCAGTGTCAACCCAGCAGTGTGCCATCCAGCAGAGCTGCTTCCGCTACTGCCCACCACGCACCCTGGCACTGGCCAGGCGGCGGCCCGAGCCGCGGCCTGGCCGGCGGATCTCGGGCTGGTGCCCAGCCCACGCTGCCCGCTACTTGGCCACCTTCACCTTCACACCTCCACCACCCCTCCGCCCACCACCCACCACCCTCACTGTTACCCTAGGTGGCCGCCTGACCCACCCAAAGGTGAGTGGTCTCACCCGCCCAGGTTGTTGCTGCTGGTGGCTGGCATGAGGTTGACCGGTGACATTGTGCTAGATTAACTACGCTACTTTATTCCAACCTATCTTGGAATATTCTAACTTAGATTAGCCTATTCTAAGCTAGGTAAGCCTAGTCTAAACTAAATTAGGCTATTCTAAGTAAGTTTAGCCTATTCTAACCTATCTTAGGCTATTCTAACTTACATTTGTGCTTTCTATCCTATTTTAGCCTATTCTAACCTAGATAACCCTATTCTAATCTAGATTAGCCAATTCTTACCAAGATTAGTCTATTCTAACCTATTTTAGCCTATTTTAACCTATTTTAGCCTATTCTAACCTAGACTAGTAAATTCTAACCTAGATTAGTAAATTCTAACCTAGATTAGTAAATTCTAACCCAGATGTATGTATTCTAACTCAGATGTATGTATTCTAACCCAGATGTATGTATTATAACCCAGATGTATGTATTATAACCCAGATGTATGTATTATAACCCAGATGTATGTATTATAACCCAGATGTATGTATTCTAACTGAGATGTATGTATTCTAACTGAGATGTATGTATTCTAACTGAGATGTATGTATTCTAACTGAGATGTATGTATTCTAACCTGTCTTAGCCTATTCCGAGCCTAGTCTGAGGTAATGCTACAGCAGCCTACTTTGTGTGCCCGTAGGCCTACCTGGGCCTAGGCTTCAGCAAGGACGTCTCCCGGCTGGTGAACACTGACCTCAGTGTCTGCTACATCAATGACAGTTACACTGTGCAGGTTGAACACTATCTACTGCATGATGCTGCAGCCAACCCTCAACTCCAGCACCAGGTGAGTTCTATTTGAACCCTCTAGCTTCTATTTGAACCCCCCTAGCTTCTATTTGAACCCCCCTAGCTTCTATTTGAACCTGCTAGGTTCTATTTGACCCCTCTAGGTTCTATTTGAACCTGCTAGGTTCTGTTTGAACCTCTAGGTTCTATTTGAACCCGTTAGGCTCTATTTGAACCTCTAGGTTCTATTTGAACCTTCTAGCTTCTATTTGAACCCGCTAAGTTCTATTTGAACCTCTAGGCTCTATTTGAACCCCTTAGGTTCTATTTGAACCTCTAGCTTATATTTGAACCTGCTAAGTTCTGTTTGAACCTCTAGGTTCTATTTGAACCTACTTGGTTATATTTAATCTCAAGGCTTATTTGGCCTAAATTTCAGCCTATTTGACCTTATTTGAAGCCTATCTGACCTCAATTTAGGCCTATTTGACCTCACAACCTATTTGACACTAGGCCATATTTATATTTATATTCAAATTAGGTCTATTTGACCAAAATTTTGGCCTCAAGCTGGCACTGGACAAGCACCTAAAGTCAGTTCCGGATCAGCCGGGCTGTGGCTCGTATGTTGGTTTGCGTGCAGCCAGCTGCAACAGCCTGGTTGATCAGGCTCTGATCCACCAGGAGGCCTGGTCTCAGACCGGGCCGCGGGGGCGTTGACCCCCGGAACACTCTCCAGGTAAACTCCAGGTAAACTCTAGGCCTATTTGACCTTGTTTTGGGATTTTTGCTCTCTAGGCTTATTTGTCCTTAGGCCTATATAGCCTCAATTTAGGCCTATATAACCAATTTAGGCCTATATAACCTCAATTTAGGCCTATATAGCCTCAATTTAGGGTTAATTTACTCCATCTATCGAGCCACCATCTATCTATTGACTCACCATCTGTCTATCAAGGAACCATCTGTCAGTTGAGTCACTTTCTATCTATTGGCTAAACCATCTATTTAGCCACCATTTATCTATCGAGTAATCATCTATCTATCGAGCCACCGTCTACCTATCGAGAAACCATCTATCAACTCTCTTATCTATCTATCGAGTAACTCTCTATCAGTAGAGCCACCATTGACTATATTATCAATCTATCGAGCCACCATCTATCAAACCACCATCTATCTATCAAGCCACCATCTATCTACACCCTATCCATCTATCGCCCTATTATCTACCCCTAGTTATCTAAAGACCCCAGCCTATCTATTGATCCATCTCTCCCGCAGGTTCTAGAGCTGGAGTCCTGGGACCTGGACGGTGACTACTTGTGGTGTACCTTCAGCCGCACTCTAGCTCCTGGGCCCAACAGCACTCTCAACCTTCTAGAACCACACTTCTACTTATACTTCTGGGGAACCAGGAACGGTTCTAGTAAGTTCTAGATCTAAATTAAAGGTTCTAGTAAGTTCTAGATTTAAATTAAAGGTTCTAGTAAGTTCTAGATCTAAACTAAAGGTTCTAGCAAGTATTATATCTAAATTAAAGGTTCTAGCAGGTTCTAGATCTAAATTAAAGGTTCTAGTTAGTTCTAGATCTAAATTAAAGGTTCTAGCAAGTTCTAGATCTAAATTAAAGGTTCTAGCAAGTTCTAAAGCTAAATTAAAGGTTCTAGCAAGTTCTAGATCTAAATTAGAGGTTCTAGTAAGTTCTAGAGCTAAATTAAAGGTTCTAGCAAGTTCTAGATCTAAATTAAAGCCTCTAGTAGCTCTAGATCTAAATTAAAGGTTCTAGTAAGTTCTAGATCTAAATCAAAGCTTCTAGCAGTTCTAGATCTAAATCAAAGCTTCTAGCAGTTCTAGATCTAAAAGGTTCTAGTAATTTCTATATCTAAAAGCTTCTAGTAGGTTCTATATCTAAATTAAAGCTTCTAATAAGTTCTGTATCTAAATTAAAGCTTCTAGTAAGTTCTAAAATAAAGGTTCAAGATCTAAAAGGTTCTAGTAAGTTCTAGGTCTAAATAGTCATTTCTAGTTTCTGAAAAATAGTTCTAGGTCTGAAGGAAAGTTTTAATCTCTATAGAAAAGGTTCTAGTAAGTTCAGTGTTTGTAGGGAAGGTTCTAGTGCTTTCTATGTAATATAGGAAATGATCTAGCAGTTTCTAGGTTCTAGAAGAAAGGCCCTAGCAAGTTCAGGGTTCTGTAGAAAAGTTCAAGGACTGAAAGGTTATAGAACTGGGTTCTGTAGCATACTAGTAAGTTCTAGGTTTTGTAGAAAAGGTTCTAGCAAGTTGTAAGTTTGATATGAAAGTCCTAGGACTGAAAGAAAGGTACTAGGAAGTTCTAGGTCTCATGAAAAAGTTCAAGTAAGTTCTAGGTAGAAAAATAAGGTTCTATTAAGCCCTGGGTTCTGAAGGAATGGTTCCTGGACAGAACGAGAGGTTCTAGTAAGTTTTAAGTCTGAGAAAAGGTTCTAGTAAGTTCTATGACAGAATGAGCCGTTCTGGCAAGTTCTAGGTCTGAAGATGTTCTAGGTTCTGGAGGAAAGGTTCTAGTAAGGTCTGTGATTGAATAAAAAAGGTTCTAGAAACTTCCTAGGCTTAAGGGGTTCTAGCAAGTTCTAAGACTGTTGGAAGGATCTAGTAACATTTTGTGGCTTAAAGAAATGTTCTAATCACTTAAGTTCTCATAGAACTTTGGAAATGAGGGAAAGGTTCTAGTTTTTTCTAGGACTGAAGAAAAGGTTCTAGTAAGTTCTGGTTCTGAAGGAAAAGTTCTAGCATGTTCTAGGACTAAAAAGGTTCTAGTCTGTTCCAGTCCTGAAGGAATGGTTCTAGTCTGTTCTTGGGCTGAAGGAAAGGTTCTAGTCTGTTCTAGGACCGAATCAAAAGATTCCAGACTTAAAAAAGGTGTTCTAATAAGTTCTAGGACTGAATCCAAAGGTTCTAGGCTTAAGTAATGGTTCTAGCAAGCTCTAGGACTGAATCCAAAGGTTCTAGGTTTAAGTAATGGTTCTAGCAAGCTCTAGGACTGAATCCAAAGGTTCTAGGTTTAAGTAATGGTTCTAGCAAGCTCTAGGACTGAATCCAAAGGTTCTAGGCTTAAGGAATGGTTCTAGCAAGCTCTAGGACTGAATCCAAAGGTTCTAGGCTTAAGTAATGGTTCTAGCAAGCTCTAGGACTGAATCCAAAGGTTCTAGGCTTACATAATGGTTCTAGCAAGCTCTAGGACTGAATCCAAAGGTTCTAGGCTTACATAATGGTTCTAGCAAGTTTTAGGACTGAATCCAAAGGTTCTAGGCTCAAGTAATGGTTCTAGCAAGCTTTAGGACTGAATCCAAAGGTTCTAGGCTTAAGTAATGGTTCTAGCAAGCTTTAGGACTGAATCCAAAGGTTGTAGGCTTAAGGAATGGTTCTAGCAAGCTCTAGGACTAAATCCAAAGGTTCTTTTAACTTCCTAGATCCTAAGAAAGGTTCTAGTCAGTTCTAGGTTCTCACGGAACCATTTTGAATATTCAGAGTTCTCTTTGTCCTGCCCAGAACTCCGAGATTAATATTGCTCCCACTGACCAATTTTAATTAATAGTTTTTCCTTCTGTGATGGTAGAGATTTTTTTTAATTTAACCCGTAAACGGTCCAAACGTATATATACGTTTTTTCAACATTTGAAAGTATGTAAAAAAAGTAGATCTTCTTTTTGTTTTTTTTACATTTGAAAATGTGTAAAAAAAACTTTGATCTGTTTTTTTTTTGTTATATTTGAAAATATGTAAAAAAAACGTAGATCTACTTTTGTAGCGCTACACACGTGAACGTAGATCTGCTTGGACCGTTTACGGGTCAAAATTCGCCTTAGGCTGGCACAGAGTTGGAGGTCTGGGAGCCATTTGGCACATCGGCAATATTGCCAAGTTTGGGGCCTATTTTAGGCTTATTTCATTGCTAAATCAGACCGAAGTCCTAGCTGGTTCACTAACGTTTCTTCAGGTCTGTCGATTGAGGACAAGAAATTGAGAATTCACTCATCACAACTATGTAAAGTGGCCAGAATTCGGCAATTTAGTCATTTTTTCACATAATTTAAAAAATATCCAGTTTAAAATAGTCAATAATAAACAGTGTAGACATTGCTGGCACTAATATTTACTCTGTTCATTAATTACTTCCTTAGACCTCTCCTATGTTACACTTAACTTCCATTTTGAATTCTTAATCACACAAATATGGAAGATTTTGTCTATTTCTTGGAAAATATAATATAACCAGGAATGATTGTTCATGGTTTACAGTGTCTAAATGAATTAGGCCTATTAAAATCCTATAAAAGGAGCTCGGGGGTTAAGAGGGCCTTACCCACCTCCTGGAAAATCAGCAAAACTCTAATATTTCTACTATTTTCAACCCAATTTCAAGCTACTTCCGGTCTGGAAATTACTCAAAATTACCTCTGTCAGTAGTTTTCGTTGATTCTATCAAATAAACAAGAAACCGCCAACCATAAAACATATCCCAAAAACACCCGAAAGTTGCTATTTTAAACCAGACATGCAATCCCAGTTTTCCGTCTCCCATCATGCACTGTACGAGGCAGGATTGTTTTACACGATACACACTTCACAGACCCAGTCTCATATCTAGGCCAAAATTCACATCTCACAGCTTATCTGAGTGAGCCGAGTTCATGACTTAAAAATCTAGGTGAGGGTTCCTTAGCTCAGTGACGTAGATCTACGTGATGGACACTGGAAGGGTCTTTGGGGCCCAGTCCCTGGACCCATTATGTACCTCTGTAATGTTGAGGTACAGTCCCTGGACCCATTATGTACCTCTGTAATGTTGAGGTACAGTCCCTGGACCCATTATGTACCTCTGTAATCTTTTGACTACCGCCCACAGGATGGGTATGGGGTGCATAATAAACATATTAAACTAAACTAACTGAAAGGGTTTTAAGTTCTAGCCTCATAGAACAAGGTTCGAACATGTTATAATACTTTCTATGGATTAAGGAATAATTGAAGCTCAAATCTATTTGTGGTCTAGTAGAGTTATGGTCTGGCAGAGCTCAAGCAGTCTTAGAGCTGATGTCCTCTAGATGGAAATGCCATTCCACTAATACCTTCTAAGAAGCTGTAACACTAAAACCTAATACCCTCTAACACTTTCTAGTAACTACCTAACAACCACCTAACACTCATTAGCTCCCTTTAACTACCACTAACAGCTACTAACACCTCAAACATCCACTTTCCACCTAAGACCTCTGACATCATCTAAGAACCACCTAATAGCCATGAAGACCCTTTAACCACTATTTAAAATCCTCTAACAACTAACACCCTTTAACTTCCCCTAACACCCTCTAACAACCACCTAACAGCTACTAACAGCACTGTATTTTTCACACAGCAATCTTGATGCCACCAGCGGGACGGATGCTGCGGTCTCCCAAGATGATCTCTGCCTCAGATAAACCCTTCAACCAGTTGGTTTATAGTGGAGCTGTTTCAGACATGCCCCCACTGTTCTCCGTTGCTGTTGTCCTCTCCGTAATGCTATGTTAAAGAATACATAATATGTATTTGGTCTATCCTATGGGGTGTATCCTATGAGGTCTATCCTAAGATGATGAGATAACTAGGTCACCCTTTCCCCTTATATTCACTATTCTTGTTATCCTTCTCTCTGCAGTCATATTATATTGAAGAACACTTTAACTAAGTGTATCCACTGTTATTGTTGTTATCGAGAGACCAGGATTTGATTACACATCCAGCGTGACACCATCAAAATTTGTTCCTTGCCTTTCATATTCCCGCCCAGGGGTGACTGGGCAACCTGTGGGTTTAGCATCTTGCTAGGGGTCTAAGAAGGATGCTTTTGTATTGCCTAACAGGGGTTCAAATCATGGCTCCTTTGGGTGTATATACATTTACATCTTTCAATATAATCTCCATGAGGAAGTGGAACAGAATTCTTCCTCTGTAAGCCATGTGTGTTGTAAGAGGCAACTAAAATGCCAGGAGCAAGGAGCTAGTAACCCCTTCTCCTGTACAAATTACTAAATTTAAAAAGAAAAACTTTTGTTTTTCTTTTTGGGCCACCCTGCCTTGGTGGGATACGGCCGGTTTGTTGAAAAAAAAAAATATATGTATAATTTATAGGTAATTCTTCCTCCATAAGCCATGCGTGTCGTAAGAGGCTACTAAAATGCCAGGAGCAAGGGGCTAGTAACCGCTTCTCCTGTATATATTACTAAATTTAAATGGAGAAACTTTCGTTTGTCCGTTTGGGCCACCCCGCCTCAGTGGGATACGGCTGGTGTGTTGAAAGAAAGAAAGAAAGAAGAAAGAATTTATAGGTAGTAGGCTGGTAGACAGCAACCGCCCAGGGAGGTACTACCGTCCTGCCAAGTGAGTGTAGAACACAAACCTGTAATTGTTTTACATGATGGTAGGATTGCTGTCTTTTCATATAATTTTATATTGTTGATGTTTTCATTAGTAGCTAAAATGAAATTTCATCCTTTATATTATTATTTGACTTATTATACAGGTCAGCCATCACTAATCCAGCAATCCCTAGTCCAGTTCCATTGCTAATCTGGCACAATTTGGCTAGTGTAATTTCAAATTTCCTGGATCGCCTCACCAACCTGCTGCTACTGGCTGCATAAACACTGTACATGTCACTTGTAAACAAAGGCAAGCCATTCCAATTTGTTTTTCTCCATTTGTTATAACTTGCTCACGTTAACCCCAGCCATGGTTCCACTGGATGAAGGAAATGCTTCTCATTGCGTAAAGCACAAACACCGTACATTGTCTTCTGAAAAAATTTGACAGCGGTGTGTCTGTGAGAAGTTTGTGTGAATTATACAACACTGGCTCTTCCACAGTTTATGATATAAGCAAACAAACGAAAATTAGTCAGTTTCTTTGCTAACAGTGATTCAAAGAAACAGATCATACCAGGGGCGGGATTTGAACCCGCGGTCAGAGAGTCTCAAAACTCCAGACCGTCGCGTTAGCCACTGGACCAGCTAGCCACAATAAGAAACAGATGTGTAAAAGGAAAACAATGAAGGAATGAAAAAGTTCAGAACTAGATCAGGGTCTGATGAAGTGGTTTAGGCTACGTGTGAGCGAAGATGTTGAGCTGTAAATTTCAGCTCTTCACTTTGAAAGCGGCAATGATGAACGTTCTTGTGGAAGTCAAATTGGTTAGCTTTATTAACCCTTTCAATGTTGGCCCCATTGTATCACAGCTCTGAAGCCACTGTCAGGCCTGTAGTATGATGCCATGAGCTCGGCTCACTCAGATGAGATGTGACCGGTAAATTTGGACCTAGATATCAGAAAATGGGTCTGTGTGGTAAGCGTGTACTATGTAAAAAAAAAAATCCTGCAACATGCAGTGCATGAGGGAAAAAACTGTGATATTGTTTTTGATGTAAAACAGCAAATTTTGCAGTGTATTTTTGTATGGTTTTGATGGTTGTATTCTCGGTTTCTTGGTCTCATTAGATAGAATGGAAGATATATTACAGAAATAAAGATAATCTTGATTGGTTTCAGGATGCAAAGTACTTTGACATCGAGCTGAAAGTAGCGGAAATGTTCAATTTTTGCTGATGTTCAAGGGTAAGTAAATCAGTCAAGCGTTCACTACATGTTCAACTAGCCAGTCTGATATGCGGTCACGAATGGGTTGACATTATTTATACAATTATTACATTAATGCAGTAGTCTCCATAACAATAAATCTTCTGTTTTTTGTGTGAATAAAGGTTGGTAGACAGCAACCACCCAGGGAAGTACTACCGTCCTGCCAGATGACTGTGAAACAAAAACCTGTAACTGTTTTGCATGATGGTAGGATTGCTGGTTTCTTTTTCTGTCTCATAAACACGCTAAGATAACAGGGATATCTTGCTACTCCTACTTACACTTTGGTCACACTTCACAGACACGCACATGCATATATATATATATACATACATCTAGGTTTTTCTCCTTTTTCTAAATAGCTCTTGTTCTTTTTTATTTCTTCTATTGTCCATGGGGAAGTGGAAAAGAATCTTTCCTCCGTAAGCCATGCGTGTCGTATGAGGCGACTAAAATGCCGGGAGCAATGGGCTAGTAACCCCTTCTCCTGTATACAATTACTAAAAAAGAGAAGAAGAAAAACTTTATAAAACTGGGTTGCTTAAATGTGCGTGGATGTAGTGCGGATGACAAGAAACAGATGATTGCTGATGTTATGAATGAAAAGAAGTTGGATGTCCTGGCCCTAAGCGAAACAAAGCTGAAGGGGGTAGGAGAGTTTCAGTGGGGGGAAATAAATGGGATTAAATCTGGAGTATCTGAGAGAGTTAGAGCAAAGGAAGGGGTAGCAGTAATGTTAAATGATCAGTTATGGAAGGAGAAAAGAGAATATGAATGTGTAAATTCAAGAATTATGTGGATTAAAGTAAAGGTTGGATGCGAGAAGTGGGTCATAATAAGCGTGTATGCACCTGGAGAAGAGAGGAATGCAGAGGAGAGAGAGAGATTTTGGGAGATGTTAAGTGAATGTATAGGAGCCTTTGAACCAAGTGAGAGAGTAATTGTGGTAGGGGACTTGAATGCTAAAGTAGGAGAAACTTTTAGAGAGGGTGTGGTAGGTAAGTTTGGGGTGCCAGGTGTAAATGATAATGGGAGCCCTTTGATTGAACTTTGTATAGAAAGGGGTTTAGTTATAGGTAATACATATTTTAAGAAAAAGAGGATAAATAAGTATACACGATATGATGTAGGGCGAAATGACAGTAGTTTGTTGGATTATGTATTGGTAGATAAAAGACTGTTGAGTAGACTTCAGGATGTACATGTTTATAGAGGGGCCACAGATATATCAGATCACTTTCTAGTTGTAGCTACACTGAGAGTAAAAGGTAGATGGGATATAAGGAGAATAGAAGCATCAGGGAAGAGAGAGGTGAAGGTTTATAAACTAAAAGAGGAGGCAGTTAGGGTAAGATATAAACAGCTATTGGAGGATAGATGGGCTAATGAGAGCATAGGCAATGGGGTCGAAGAGGTATGGGGTAGGTTTAAAAATGTAGTGTTAGAGTGTTCAGCAGAAGTTTGTGGTTACAGGAAAGTGGGTGCAGGAGGGAAGAGGAGCGATTGGTGGAATGATGATGTAAAGAGAGTAGTAAGGGAGAAAAAGTTAGCATATGAGAAGTTTTTACAAAGTAGAAGTGATGCAAGGAGGGAAGAGTATATGGAGAAAAAGAGAGAAGTTAAGAGAGTGGTGAAGCAATGTAAAAAGAGAGCAAATGAGAGAGTGGGTGAGATGTTATCAACAAATTTTGTTGAAAATAAGAAAAAGTTTTGGAGTGAGATTAACAAGTTAAGAAAGCCTAGAGAACAAATGGATTTGTCAGTTAAAAATAGGAGAGGAGAGTTATTAAATGGAGAGTTAGAGGTATTGGGAAGATGGAAGGAATATTTTGAGGAATTGTTAAATGTTGATGAAGATAGGGAAGCTGTGATTTCGTGTATAGGGCAAGGAGGAATAACATCTTGTAGGAGTGAGGAAGAGCCAGTTGTGAGTGTGGGGGAAGTTCGTGAGGCAGTAGGTAAAATGAAAGGGGGTAAGGCAGCCGGGATTGATGGGATAAAGATAGAAATGTTAAAAGCAGGTGGGGATATAGTTTTGGAGTGGTTGGTGCAATTATTTAATAAATGTATGGAAGAGGGTAAGGTACCTAGGGATTGGCAGAGAGCATGCATAGTTCCTTTGTATAAAGGCAAAGGGGATAAAAGAGAGTGCAAAAATTATAGGGGGATAAGTCTGTTGAGTGTACCTGGTAAAGTGTATGGTAGAGTTATAATTGAAAGAATTAAGAGTAAGACGGAGAATAGGATAGCAGATGAACAAGGAGGCTTTAGGGAAGGTAGGGGGTGTGTGGACCAGGTGTTTACAGTGAAACATATAAGTGAACAGTATTTAGATAAGGCTAAAGAGGTCTTTGTGGCATTTATGGATTTGGAAAAGGCGTATGACAGGGTGGATAGGGGGGCAATGTGGCAGATGTTGCAAGTGTATGGTGTAGGAGGTAGGTTACTGAAAGCAGTGAAGAGTTTTTACGAGGATAGTGAGGCTCAAGTTAGAGTATGTAGGAAAGAGGGAAATTTTTTCCCAGTAAAAGTAGGCCTTAGACAAGGATGTGTGATGTCACCGTGGTTGTTTAATATATTTATAGATGGGGTTGTAAGAGAAGTAAATGCGAGGGTCTTGGCAAGAGGCGTGGAGTTAAAAGATAAAGAATCACACACAAAGTGGGAGTTGTCACAGCTGCTCTTTGCTGATGACACTGTGCTCTTGGGAGATTCTGAAGAGAAGTTGCAGAGATTGGTGGATGAATTTGGTAGGGTGTGCAAAAGAAGAAAATTAAAGGTGAATACAGGAAAGAGTAAGGTTATGAGGATAACAAAAAGATTAGGTGATGAAAGATTGAATATCAGATTGGAGGGAGAGAGTATGGAGGAGGTGAACGTATTCAGATATTTGGGAGTG